CACACACGAGAGCACCACACGTGGACACACACACGAGGGCACCTGACACACACGAGGGCACCTGACACACACACGAGAGCACCTGACACACACGAGAGCACCTGACACACACGAGAGCACCTGACACACACACGAGGGCACCTGACACACACACGAGAGCACCTGACACACACACGAGAGCACCTGACACACACACGAGAGCACCTGACACACACGAGAGCACCTGACACACACGAGAGCACCTGACACACACGAGAGCACCTGACACACACAGAGCACCTGACACACACACACACTGAGGAGCACCTGACACACACACGAGAGCACCTGACACACACACCTGAGAGCACCTGACACACACGAGAGCACCTGACACACACGAGGGCACCTGACACACACGAGAGCACCTGACACACACGAGAGCACCTGACACACACGAGAGCACCTGACACACACGAGAGCACCTGACACACACGAGGGCACCTGACACACAAAGGAGGGCACCTGACACACGCGAGAGCACCTGACACACGCGAGGGCACCTGACACACACACGAGGGCACCTGACACACACACGAGAGCACCTGACACACACACGAGAGCACCTGACACACACGAGAGCACCTGACACACACGAGGGCACCTGACACACACACGAGGGCACCTGACACACACACGAGAGCACCTGACACACACACGAGAGCACCTGACACACACGAGAGCACCTGACACACACGAGAGCACCTGACACACACGAGAGCACCTGACACACGCGATGACACACACGCGAGAGCACCTGACACACACGAGAGCACCTGACACACACGACACGAGGGCACCTGACACACACGAGAGCACCTGACACACACGAGAGAGCACCTGACACACGCGAGACACACTGACACACACACTGACACACACGAGAGCACCTGACACACGCGAGAGCACCTGACACACGCGAGGGCACCTGACACACACACGAGGGCACCTGAACACACACACGAGAGCACCTGACACACACGAGAGCACCTGTCACACACGAGAGCACCTGACACACAAAGGAGGGCACCTGACACACACGAGAGCACCTGACACACAAAGGAGGGCACCTGACACACACGAGGCACCTGACACACACGAGGGCACCTGGCACACACACGAGAGCACCTGACACACACGAGAGCACCTGACACACACGAGAGAGCACCTGACACACACACACAGAGAGCACCTGACACACACGAGAGCACCTGACACACACGAGAGCACCTGACACACACGCGACGGGCACCTGACACACACGAGGGCACCTGACACACGCACACGAGAGCACCTGACACACACAGACAGAGCACCTGACACACACACGAGAGCACCTGACACACACACGAGAGCACACAGAGAGCACCTGACACACACGAGAGGCACCTGACACACACACAAGGGCACCTGACACACACGAGGCACCTGACACACACACACGAGAGGCACCTGACACACACGAGAGCACCTGACACACACACACGAGAGGCACCTGACACACACGAGAGCACCTGACACACACAAGGGCACACACACACACGAGAGCACCTGACACACACACGAGAGCACCTGACACACACACACGAGAGCACCTGTCACACACGAGAGCACCTGACACACACGAGGGCACCTGACACACACGAGGGCACCTGAGACACACACGAGAGCACCTGACACACACACGAGAGCACCTGTCACACACGAGAGCACCTGACACACACGAGGGCACCGGACACACACACGAGGGCACCTGACACACACGAGGGCACCTGACACACACGAGAGCACCTGTCACACACACGAGAGCACCTGACACACACGAGAGCACCTGACACACACAAGGGCACCTGACACACACGAGAGCACCTGTCACACACACGAGAGCACCTGACACACACGAGAGCACCTGACACTTGACACACACGAGGGCACCTGACACACACGAGGGCACCTGTCACACACACGAGAGCACCTGTCACACACACGAGGGCACCTGACACACACGAGGGCACCTGTCACACACACACGAGGGCACCTGACACACACGAGAGCACCTGACACACAAAGGAGGGCACCTGACACACACGAGAGCACCTGACACACACGAGGAGCACCTGACACACACGAGGGCACCTGACACACACACGAGGGCACCTGACACACACGAGGGCACCTGACACACACACGAGAGCACCTGACACACACATGAGAGCACCTGTCACACACGAGAGCACCTGACACACACGAGGGCACCTGACACACACAGGGCACCTGACACACACGATGGCACCTGACACACACGAGAGCACCTGTCACACACACGAGAGCACCTGACACACACGAGAGCACCTGACACACACGAGGGCACCTGACACACACACCGAGAGGCACCTGTCACCACACGAGCACCTGACACACAACGAGGGCACCTGACACACACGAGGCACCTGTCACACACACGAGGCACCTGACACACACGAGAGCACCTGACACACAAGGCACCTGACACACACGAGAGCACCTGACACACACGAGAGAGCACCTGACACACACGAGAGGCACTGACACACACAGGGCACCTGACACACACGAGGGCACCTGACACACACGAGAGCACCTGACACACACGAGAGCACACTGACACACACGAGGCACCTGACACCTGACACACACGAGGGCACCTGACACACACGAGAGCACCTGACACTGAGACACACTGACACACACACGAGGGCACCTGACACACACGAGAGCACACCTGACACACACGAGGCACCTGACACACACACGAGAGCACCTGACACACAAAGGAGGGCACCTGACACACACGAGAGCACCTGACACACACACGAGAAGCACCTGACACACACACGAGAGCACCTGACACACACGAGAGCACCTGACACACACGAGAGCACCTGACACACACGAGGCACCTGACACACAACACGAGGGCACCTGACACACACACGACACCACACGAGCACCTGACACACACACGAGAAGCACCTGTCACACACGAGAGCACACTGACACACACGAGGACACACGCGAGGGCACCTGACACACACGAGGGCACCTGACACACACGAGGAGCACCTGACACACACACAGAGAGCACCTGTCACACACACGAGAGGGCACCTGACACACACACGAGGGCACCTGACCTGACACACACACGAGAGCACCTGTCACACACACGAGAGCACCTGACACACACGAGGGCACCTGTCACACACACACAGGGCACCTGACACACACGAGAGCACCTGACACACAAAGGAGGGCACCTGACACACACGAGAGACACACACACACTGACACACACGAGAGGCACCTGACACACACACGAGGGCACCTGACACACACGAGGGCACCTGACACACACGAGGGCAACCTGACACACACGAGAGAGCACCTGTCACACACACGAGAGCACCTGACACACACAGAGAGCACCTGACACACACGCGAGGGCACCTGACACACACACGAGGGCACCTGACACACACACGAGAGCACCTGACACACACACGAGAGCACCTGTCACACACACACGAGGGCACCTGACACACACGAGGGCACCTGTCACACACACGAGGGCACCTGACACACACGAGGGCACCTGTCACACACACAAGGGCACCTGACACACACGAGAGCACCTGACACACAAAGGAGGGCACCTGACACACACGAGGGCACCTGACACACACACGAGGGCACCTGACACACACGAGGGCACCTGACACACACACACGAGAGCACCTGACACACACACGAGAGCACCTGTCACACACGAGAGCACCTGACACACACGAGGGCACCTGACACACACACAAGGGCACCTGACACACACGAGGGCACCTGACACACACGAGAGCACCTGTCACACACACGAGAGCACCTGACACACACGAGAGCACTTGACACACACGAGGGTACCTGTCACACACACGAGGGCACCTGACACACACGAGGGCACCTGTCACACACACGAGGGCACCTGACACACACGAGAGCACCTGACACACACACAAGGGCACCTGACACACACACGAGAGCACCTGTCACACACGAGAGCACCTGACACACACGAGGGCACCTGTCACACACATGAGAGCACCTGTCACACACACGAGGGCACCTGACACACACGAGGGCACCTGTCACACACACGAGGGCACCTGACACACACGAGAGCACCTGACACACAAAGGAGGGCACCTGACACACACGAGAGCACCTGACACACACACAAGGGCACCTGACACACACACGAGAGCACCTGTCACACACGAGAGCACCTGACACACACGAGGGCACCTGACACACTTGAGAGCACCTGACACACACACGAGAGCACCTGTCACACACGAGAGCACCTGACACACACAAGGGCACCTGACACACACACAAGGGCACCTGACACACACAAGAGCACCTGACACACAAAGGAGGGCACCTGTCACACACACGAGAGCACCTGACACACACGAGAGCACCTGACACACACACAAGGGCACCTGACACACACGAGAGCACCTGACACACAAAGGAGGGCACCTGACACACACAAGAGCACCTGACACACACACGAGAGCACCTGACACACACACGAGGGCACCTGACACACACACGAGAGCACCTGTCACACGAGAGCACCTGACACACACGAGGGCACCTGTCACACACACGACACACGGGCACCTGACACACACGAGAGCACCTGACACACACACAACACACGGCACCTGACACACACACGAGAGCACCTGTCACACACGAGAGCACCTGACACACACGAGGGCACCTGTCACACACATGAGAGCACCTGTCACACACACGAGGGCACCTGACACACACGAGGGCACCTGTCACACACACGAGGGCACCTGACACACACGAGAGCACCTGACACACAAAGGAGGGCACCTGACACACACGAGAGCACCTGACACACACACAAGGGCACCTGACACACACACGAGAGCACCTGTCACACATGAGAGCACCTGACACACACGAGGGCACCTGACACACACACGAGAGCACCTGACACACACACGAGAGCACCTGTCACACACGAGAGCACCTGACACACACAAGGGCACCTGACACACACACAAGGGCACCTGACACACACAAGAGCACCTGACACACAAAGGAGGGCACCTGTCACACACACGAGAGCACCTGACACACACGAGAGCACCTGACACACACGAGAGCACCTGACACACACACAAGGGCACCTGACACACACGAGAGCACCTGACAACACACACCTGACACACACACAGAGCACCTGACACACACACGAGAGCACCTGACACACACACGAGAGCACCTGACACACACACGAGGGCACCTGACACACACACGAGAGCACCTGACACACACACGAGAGCACCTGACACACACGAGAGCACCTGTCACACGTGAGAGCACCTGACACACACGGGGAGGGCCCCTGGCACACGGGAGGGCGTCTGACTGTGTGTGTGCGTCAGAGGGGCGTGGCCGAGATCCGTGAGATCCGTCAGTTTCACTTCACTGGTTGGCCGGACCACGGCGTCCCGCTCCACGCCACCGGACTCCTCGGCTTCATCCGGCGAGTGAAGAGCAAAACCCCGCCCACCGCCGGCCCCACCGTGGTGCACTGCAGGTAAGACACGCCCCCGACCCCGCCCACATCCACTAACCCCGCCCACGTCCACAAACCCCGCCCACAACAACCCCCGACCCCGCCCACATCCACTAACCCCGCCTCATGTCTGTTGTAGTCCTGTGGTCGTCTTTGTTCTGACTCGGTTCTGACTCGGTTCTGACTCGGTATGACTCGTTGTCCTCAGTGCGGGCGCAGGTCGGACCGGGTGCTTCATCGTCATCGACATCATGCTGGACATGGCCGAGCGCGAAGGCGTCGTCGACATTTACAACTGTGTGAGAGAACTGAGAGCGCGAAGAGTCAACATGGTCCAGACCGAGGTGAGACCGGGACCAGGACCAGGACCGGGACCAAGACCAGGACCAGGACCGGGACCAGGACCGGGACCAGGACCAGGACCAAGACCAGGACCAGGACTGGGACCAGGACCAGGACCGGGACCAGGACCAGGACCAGGACCAAGACCAGGACCGGGACCAGGACCAGGACCAGGACTGGGACCAGGACCAGGACCAGGACCAGGAGACCAGGACCACCAGGACCTGAGACCAGGACCGGGACCAGGACCAGGACCAAGACCAGGACCGGGACCAGGACCAGGACCTGAGACCAGGACCGGGACCAGGACCAGGACCAAGACCAGGACCGGGACCAGGACCAGGACCTGAGACCAGGACCGGGACCAGGACCAGGACCTGAGACCAGGACCGGGACCAGGACCGGGACCAGGACCAGGACCTGAGACCAGACCAGTGACCTGAGACTGGGACTGGGACCAGACAATACTTAGACCTGGTTCATGTAGTCCTTTCTGACCTGTAGTGTGACCTGCAGTGACCTGTAGTGACCTGAGGTGACCTGTAGTGACCTGTGGTGACCTGTAGTGACCTGAAGTGATCTGTAGTGACCTGTAGTGTGACCTGTAGTGTGACCTGTAGTGACCTGTAGTGACCTGTAGTGTGACCTGTAGTGTGACCTGTAGTGACCTGTAGTGACCTGTAGTGTGACCTGTGGTGACCTGAGGTGACCTGTAGTGACCTGTGGTGTGACCTGTATTGACCTGTAGTGACCTGAGGTGACCTGTAGTGACCTGTGGTGTGACCTGTAGTGACCTGAGGTGACCTGTGGTGACCTGAGTGCTGTCGTTGCAGGAGCAGTACGTGTTCATCCATGACGCCATCTTGGAGGCGTGTCTCTGCGGCGACACGGCGATTCCAGCCAATCAGCTTCGCTCGGTTTATTACGAAATGAACCGACTCGACCCACAAACCAACTCCTGCCAGATCAAAGAGGAGTTCAGGGTTAGTGCTGGTTTAGTCCTGGTTTAGACCTGGTTTAGTCCTGGTTTAGTCCTGGTTTAGTCCTGGTTTAGACCTGGTTTAGTCCTGGTTTAGTCCTGGTTTAGACCCTGGTTTAGTCCTGGTTTAGTCCTGGTTTAGACCTGGTTTAGACCTGGTTTAGTCCTGGTTTAAGTCCTGGTTTAGTCCTGGTTTAGAACTGGTTTAGTCCTGGTTTAGTCCTGGTTTAGACCTGGTTTAGTCCTGGTTTAGTCCTCGTTTAGTCCTGGTTTAGTCCTGGTTTAGTCCTGGTTTAGTCCTGGTTTAGACCTGGTTTAGTCCTGTTTAGTCCTGGTTTAGTCCTGGTTTAGACCTGGTTTAGTTCTGGTTTAGTCCTGGTTTAGTCCTGGTTTAGTCCTGGTTTAGACCTGGTTTAGTCCTGGTTTAGTCCTGGTTTAGACCTGGTTTAGTCCTGGTTTAGTCCTGGTTTAGACCTGGTTTAGTCTG